TCGTTTTTAGAGCAATTTTATATCACAAATCACAAAATCATATGTGTTAAAGTTTAGTGATAAAGCTATAAGCTACACAAGGTGCAGATAATTTATTGTAAAGGCATTTAAGTCATGTGGTGACATGATACGTTGTTTAGAACGCAATATTTAAGACCCCGCGGTGCAACAATGGCCGCAAAGAAAGGCATTTCAGATAGGAGACTGTTAAAGATGGTTTTATCCAGCACACGTTGAAAAAAGGATTAAGTGTTTCAAAGAATTTAGGATTATAATTATAAAACCTGTATTTTAAGATTTTTGTATTTTAAGAATCTTACTCAACAGTTTATGTAAATGTCTGTGCTAATAATAAATATAAATTTTCGCTTACTTTAACACTTCACGCAGCCGCAGAGCCACATGCTAGTAAATGTTATGTTTCTTAAGTGTAGGTTAGAATAGAACTAAAATTATCGAAATCGACACTTCCTTTCCGCCATCTTAAATGCAAAAGTGACTGCAGTAACTTTCGCTTGATACTGATCAGTTTGACAACATTTATACGAGGGATACTTGACTGGATCAACATTTGAACGTACAGCTTATGTGTCACCGTGCAAATTTGATCTTTTTAAATATACACAATGAATGGTTGTTTGCTGAATCTTCGCCCGTTCTAAAATGTGTATTTAACAAATACATATTCTCATAAAAATAATCCATACTCTCAGACGGCAGGAAAAATAATAAATAAAAGAAATGTGAAAAACAACCTTTTTCACCAAGGTTCGATTATGTGGGCCGATTCACTAAGAAAAAATCCGAACAGTGGTCGTAAAACGCTTATCATAATTAGAAAGTTAAAACCATTTCTAAGAGAATGCTGTTTTTATTTCACATGAAATCGTATTTGTTTTTATCAAATTAATTTTTTTAGAACCCTTGTCATAGTTTTTGCTATAAAGCAGTCGATTTGCGTCACCGTACAAAAAACTGTACTCCGCTATTTTTTGACGCCGATGGTTAGGTGTGCAAACGCAGTGTTCGATAACTCAATTGCCAATTAACGGATTTGGTTCAAATATTATATGTTGATGCAAATAGACAAAGGAGGCCGGATGCTAAAGAACACGTTCTCAAGATGGCCACTGAATTTCAAAATGGCCGCCATTTTCATGAAATAAACATATCCTTTGATAACTCAAATGTACATGTACCAGTGGACAGATATGATTCAAATATTAATTGTTGATGCCGACAAACGAGCTCTGCTAAAGAACGAATTTTCAAGATGGTGATTAAATTTCATTTTTCGTTAACAGTCAGTGGATGGATTTGGTTATATGCTGATGCCTTGGGACAAAAGAAATTTTCAAGATGACAACTTAGTTTCAAATAGGCCGCCATTTTCTTATCTTTGATAAATCAAACACCAGTAGATGAATTTGTTTCAAAGTTTGTCTTCTGATGCTTAGAGGTAAAAGTTCAAATTAAAGGGTTAGGATAAGCTTCCAGTATAAAAACAATATGGCTGTTACGCGGTCAAGAAGATGTTTTCAAGATGGCCACTTTTTATCAAAATGGCCACCATTTGTCGTTAAAATTGACAACTCAAATGCCAAGAGACGGATTTGGTTCACATTATATATGCTCCTACCTAGGAACAAAGGAGATCTGCAAAATAATTTTTCAAATAAGAAGGCAGTGAATTTCAAAATGGCCTCCATTTTTCGGGATAAACATAATCTTTGATAACTCAGATACCAGTGGATGGATTTAGTTCAAATTAAAGGGTTAGGATAAGCTTCCAGTATAAAAACAATATGGCTGTTACGCGGTAAACACGATACAAAAATATGTCATATCCCGCAACGAATATGGCATATTCACTTGCGGTGTATGACAGATTCACCTGCGGTATATGGCATACACAGTCAATTGCATCGATTGAACGAACAAGTAAAACGTTATAAATTATTACAATGATTATTGAATCAACAGTACTGTATATCGAATATATTAATTTAGCAGAAGTATCAGTCAGCAATCTCACCTAATAAACTTACTCAATCAATCCAGGATTCATAAATAAGTACTCGACGCACTAACTATATTGGTAATCCAGCGTAGTTTTACATTTAGAGTCGATTCTCGCAACCAATCAAATCACTTTTTCACCTGCGGTATATGTCATATTCACCTGCGGTATATGTCATATTCACCTGCGGTATATGTCATATTCACCTGCGGTATATGGCATATTCCGCAAGTGAGTATGACATATTCCGCATGTGAGTATCGGGTATTCACTGAAATCAATGTATCGCATATTCACTGCGGAATATCGCATACTCACCTGCGGAATATGCCATATACCGCAGGTGAGTATGGCATATTCACCCGTATCACAAATACCGCGCAACCATGAATGTCTGCCATATACCGCGTAACAATGGCGGTTCTAGGCGAGTCAACTGGATCAGTCCATTTTTAAGAAATAAGGAGAGTTTTGTAAATTCCAGAAACGAGCGTTCGATTTGCAAACCGACAATCGTTCCGCTCTAATATTCCTCCTTTGATATGTTGATATGCAGCTCTGTCCTGAATTTTCAAGATGGCCACTTATTATCAAAATATGTTTTGTTCGGTTGGATTTGCTACTCCGTGGAATTGCTGCTCTTCTAATTGAAAAAGAAACGGAGTTGGTAGGCCAATGCGTTCCCGGTGTCTACAATTTTCAAAATGGCATCCGAGGCTCGACGTCATTGACAAACCCTTTCCCCCGTTTTGTCTAGTGTCCCCTATGTGTTCTAAACGATTTCATACTCACTGGGGATGAACTGGAAACGAGGGAGGTTTTGCCTCGTATCAAAATGGCGGCGCGTGAAAAAATTTCATTCGGTAAGATTTTTGTTTTTTACAATTTTCGTGCTTTTATCCTTCAAATTAAAACTTAATATTTGGCAAGTAAATAGTCTATAAGTTCCGGTTTTATAATATGATTGCAAATTATAAATCAATACAGACATTGCTGAGATATTTACATTTCAATTCTCTCACTTAGGAAACGAGGCACCTGTCTACATTTTGTAACAATGAAACGAGGCAATGTTTGACTTGCAACGAGGCAACTATTCTTTCTGTGATAGTGTCTACATTTAATGATCTTATTTCCACCGTTCTGGTCACATACGACCGATTACGTTTTACACGATATAAATGATTATATATGTAAGAGCAAAGAAAAGTCTAACTGTACCAATTTAGTTAAGCTACATGTTGTAAAGGTTCATCTTTAAGTACAGAAAATGCCAATGCACTTCACTTGATTCATTCTTTGCTGCAGCTTAAAATTTATGCTAAGGAGTTATACTGTTTTATTTTTAAATATTTCGAAAACGTTAAATAGCATTGCTTTGAGTGTCAATTCCAATATAAACGAGCCAGCTATCCGAGCTATCAATGGTAGCGCATATATCGTCAAAATGCTCTCTCAAATAAGAAAAATCTCGTTCAAAGAAGTGCTATTTTAATAGGGAGCTTAAGCTACACGTATTTTAGAAATGGCGAACGTAAACGTGAAATGACCCCTGGGAACTATAGTTCCGTTCTGGATTGACTTATACAAAGACCCAATTAAAACAGTTTAACTGATACCTTTGTAATCATTCATGCAAATAAAGACGTTGAAGACAAGAACTAGTTCTCTGAAGATTGCAATTTTACACGTTTACGTACACTTCTCTTTAAAACATGTGTCGTTAAACCTCCCTACTAATCGTACGCAAATGGGGCATTGTTGTTGCTCAAGATGGCTATATTTGATAGAATATAATTCCAGATACGATAAAAAACGAATGACCATGGTAATAATTAAATGACTCGCCTATATTACAAAAATAGCAGAGTCAAGGAGCACACTGGCATTGTCTCATTGGTGTACATTGGATTTTACTGTTTGTATTCTTTAATGTCTGTATGTTCCTTATTATGTCACTATCAATTATGTTATTCTGCATATAGTCCAACGAAATGTGGAAATGTTCGGCGTCTTGAGTTCGGCGTCTGGCGTTTTGCGTGAAATAGCAAATTATTTAGCAATTTTAGCAACTTTCAAAAACTGAACAAATGCGTACCGCTTAGACTGACATCATATTTTACTGTGAACAATTATAAACTTATTATGAAATAAATGGACTTATTTGTTATTACTAAGTTACAACACGTGTCATATGTTAATGCCTTGTATTTTCTTAAATGCTAGAAATGGCAATGCATTTGTAAATGAAATATTCATAGATAGATAGTATTTTCTAGATTATTAGCCATATGAAAAATGTTAATGGTCGATGGCATAAATATTATGATGTCGCTATCGTGAATTAAAATAAATGATGTTTCAAGGTAGAATAAAAGCAAGCTTTGTTCACAACTGTCTATATCTGCTTCCCTATTCAACATAACAGTTTTGCTTTTTAGGAAGCTTCAACATATTGCCAATGGAGGGGTCTGTTGCATCATATGGAATACAATATCAGCAACGTTGTCGTTTCCTGTGTTACAGAAATAGCATTTGAACAGGGACGCTTCTTTTTGTAGGCCCCGTTCTGTAATAAAAACAAAACATTTTTAATTAAATATGGTTGCCTCGTTTCATTCTTAAGAATGCTATATAGCTGCCTCGTTTCCTTGAGAAACATGCCTCGTTTCCTAAGTGAGAGAATTGATATGTAAATATCTCAGCAATGCCAGTATTGATTTCTAATTTGTAATCATATTATAAAACCGGAACTTATGAACTATTTACTTGCCAAATATTAAGTTTTAATTTGAAGGATAAAAGCACGAAAATTGTAAAAAACAAAAATCTTAACGAATGAAATTTTTTCACGCGCCGCCATTTTGATACGAGGCAAAACCTCCCTCGTTTCCAGTTCATCCCCAGTGATACTAGAGATGATTGAATTTTCAGAGACAGAGATTTGGGCTGTACTGGTTATGTCAACATATGTACATACTTGCGTTCCACCTTCTAATTTGCCTTCTCTCAGAACGAATCTTAGATATTTAGCAAGATCATCTGCCGTGCTGGCTAATCCCCATGCACCGACATTACGGCCATGCCAACTAAAATACAACCAAATTGTTTACCATTTACAGTGGCGTAGCGTGGGTATTTTATGAGTGTACGCCACGAGTGAGCGAAGCGAACGAGCTTTGAGGGGGGGGGGTTCTTTCCCCCAAGAAAATTTGAAAAAATTAGATTGCATTTGAAGCGTTCTGGGGCGTTTTAAAATACGAAATTCCGACTACAAAAAATAATATGGATTAATAAAATGTTAGGCCATTACTTCAGAATATTAAACGTGGGTCATTTCAATATCAAAAATTCACTTTTCTCTAAACTTTGAGAGTACGCTATGGCGTTTTATGCGTATATGACGCTACGCCACTGATTTAATTTACTTTACTGGCATAAGTGATGATTTTGCCGAGATGAAAGAACATGTGAGGCTTTGGTGAAAATCTTTAAAATGACTTTTCTATTAGTTATACAACGTACTGATCAACAATTATATAGGTAAATGCTAAAATAGTGTATCAACTGCTAATATACAAGTCCCTGTGACCCCCTCCCACTACTTGACTACACGGGTATGATAACGTCTCACACGGGTCTAGTAATGAGTGGCTAGGCAAAGGAACTGCCCCCTAGTCACATGAAGTGAAAATAGTTAGAAAGAGCCAATCAGATTATTTGACTTTGTATAAAAACCTCATACCTCGTACCCATGTTCGTGGGTCGTGATACAGTCTTTAAAGGGTTTGACTTTTAAAGTTTAAGCCCCCCTCACATATGAACGAATCCACTAAACGCAGTCTTGCGAATAGGAATTGAGTAAAATCCGTTCCCATTAGTATGTGTACGTTGTACATCGTTGGGGTGTTCGTATGTGTAAGTTTCCTCTCGGAAAGCTTCGGAAGCATGTGCAAAGATGTGCTTCAGTAAGCATGTTTACGTTCCCAATCGCTAGAATTGACATCGCAAGACTGCGTTTGGTTGATTCGTTCATATGTGAGGGGGCCTTTAAAAACATTTAAGTAATTATTCAATCTTAGTTAATGCTCACTTAAATGTAGTTCAGAATGCAATTATTGTGGTTATAGATTTGTAAATTCGTCTAGTCAAGTATAGATAGATATAAGTGCATAAAATAAAGCCAGGGTTGTTAATTTTAGTTTTTATTGAGTGTCACAATATCGCCATTCAAAGGCTTGTTCAAAGGGAAAATCTACGCAAAATTAGTTTGAAATATGTTGGGATTTGCTAAATGGAATTCTGTGTTTTATTTTATTTAATCACAGCATGAGTAACGATGAATTTAGCCTCTGGGATTTTAAACACAACATACGACAAAGTAATTGTGGATAATAGATAATGATTCTGGTTCGAAATTAAAGGCAGAATCAGATCTATAGGGGTGACAAAATTACAAGGAACATGTTTAGTTGACCTACCAATCTATTCCTTAACAATATCAAATACAATATCTCCAAAATGATTTAGAATATGTTATAAATTGGTAGAGTTATTAAGGATTCAAAGTGCAAAAATGGATGAAAAATGTTTAAATTCTCCCAAATAATAAGAATGGTAACCATTCTTAAAGAAAAATTATACGTAATTTTAAAAATCTTTAGTTTGCCTGGAATGAAGTATGAACTTTTGTGATTTTTAGAAAATAGACATGACAAGAAATGACATGAGACAAAAATATTCAAAAATTGAAACATTTTTTTGTTTAGCCTGCTTTCTATATATGATTCTCTCTTTTATGATGGGGAGAGTAATACACCCATAAAGACAAGATTGTAGTACAATCTAAATGTTGAAATATAGCTATTGAAACCTTTAATAAATTTAGTGTAGATTGCTTCTCTCGTGAACAAACATTTCAATTGCGCAATTTTGATGAAGAATAATAGCAAAGATAAACAATTTTGCAATTTTGGCATTGGCCTAAGATCTATAAGACATACATGTTGTAGGCCTACTAGTGCATTAACGTACGTGGGTACGAGGTACACGTTTTTTTAAATACAAAGCCAGATTATTTTGTCTTGTTTATCTAGTGCACACTTTAGTAAACAAGAGCATATGAAGGAATAAGTTATTGCCTTAGTGTTGATTCGGTCTATAATATTCCTTTTTAGATAGCACAGTTTGTGACCTAGTTTGATGGTTTTGACCCTTGAAGAGATTTTCAAGCCGAGTAGGTCTTTTGTGATCAAGCGGGCCAAAATTTGAAGCTAAAATCAATTTAAAAAATCCATTTTGTTTTACCTTTCGAAGGTCACTGAAGGTCAAGTAAAGGTCAAATCCCAAAACTGGACAGTTTTGGATTCCTGGGAAATTGTAGATGAATCTTTTTAAAAAATTGATCAAATTGAATCAAGTTGACAAATAACCTACTTGTACCGTTTTTTGTACCGTTTGTTTGTCAAATATCTCAAAAACTATAAATATTTAATGCTGACATATATTCAGCAATTTATAGAGAAAGCTTAAATCTAGTTACAATCAAATTCATCGCAAGTAAAAATGAAGTATACGGTAGAGGCTGACGGTAATTCCGGTTAAACGGTTTCGGTACGGTTAAACGGTTTCGGTACGGTTAAACGGTTTCGGTACGGAATTGAGCATTTATATAGACATTTAGATGTCCATGTTTGGCAGTTCAGGTGTGATTTCCATGTTTGGCAGTTCAGGTGTGATGTCCATGTTTGGCAGTTCGGGTGTAGTAGCTTCATGCTCAGGCTCAGATTTGGTTAGTTATGTTTAGCAGTTCCGGTGAAGTTGTAGTGTCAACGTCAGATCCAGAAACTGAATTATGTTTGTAATAGTCATTTACGAACAACAAGGCATTGACAACCTCAGGTTGAAGTCGTGCCCGTTTTTAAAGGCAGGGATTCCTTACCATGTGGTAAATTTAACTACAACCCAATTTTGATGCAGCTTATTATATAACTGCTATAACAGTTTTATAAATTACTTTACATTTTCAAGCCAGATAGGAACTACTATTTAAATTTGAAACTACCATCAGATTCAGAATATATTCATGAATAACTGTGACAAAGTTTAGCTAATTCCATGCAAAAATACTAGGGATATATGGAAAAACAGGTCTAAGGTGTCAGATTCTGTGGACATTTAAATTTTCAAACATGCTATTACATCATTTTCTAACTGACATTCTGCTTTTATAGTGGAGCCCTGCGCGTTCACTTGACACAGATGACGCAGGAATAGCATGATATGTTTCAGGCAAAACTCGCCACATCAGGATGTTTTCCTCCGTTTAATTTACTTTCCAGAACTCAAGACAGTCAATAAAATCTATTTTACCTACCCCACCCCCATGTATACTGCACGTCGCTTGCTATTGATACAGTTGAGAAATGGTTTGAAATGTGTAATACATTTAATTTATAACTAAAAATACATCTTGATTCGTAAGATAGTTACGGTCTTGCACCATGTATGCATATAGACTTAAGAAGCTACGGAGAGAGTAAGGAACAAAGTGGGGTTGGCAGCGCATTGGCATTTTATCTTACATATTTTTACCGGTATTTCGGTAACGGTACGGTTATTAGCATGACGGTTACTGGTACTGGTTTTCAGTACCGTTGCGACCTCTAGTATACGGACAAACTTTGAGAAACTTGTCAATCACAAAATTGCCACTGACTTATACATGAGAAAGTTCCCTGAAAATGACAAGTCCTATTTTTGTCAAATGTTATAGAGTAAACACAAAAAGAGCTTTGAAGTTTACGACGTAATGCCCAGTATTTTCCGCGGCAGATTTGTAAGTACCCATTTATTTCGACGTTCTGACAGAATATGGTCCTACTCCTTTCGTAGAAACATCGACCATACCATGCAGATATACTTCTAGTATCACTACGTCGCAACATTTCTTCTGAACACGGTTTAAAACTTTTTAAACCTTCTAGAAAGCACGACAATTTCTTGAAAAACAATGATAATTTTTCACAGAAATCTTCATAGTTTCTACAATTTTAGCCCTATCATCTTGAAATATTGATAAGATTAATAATACAATTTTTACATATCATCAAGACACTTCAGTTTCCCAAATCAATGAAAGAATTCCGGGGAAATTAATTTTTCTTTGAAAGTGTACGACGTAAAAGGAGTACGACGTTCACGGAATTAAAAATCTACAATGAAATATCGTATACCTCCTCGCACCTAACGCCTGTCGGCTACCGGATTTACCTGCTATATTATTTTACCTGCTATTCCATTCATAAAAATGAGTTGGTCATGAAATAGAAGGTTAATCCGGTAGCCGACAGGCGTTAGTTGCATTCGCGAATCCAAGCTCATTAGGTGCTGTCCCCTTCTATAACCGTGTCACTGTAGGAAATGCTTTACCAATATACCATGGAGTATAACCAGAGTTTGAATCGACAGACATCTCTTATGAAAGGTATTCTCTGCTTACTAGACTGTATGGGAGGGTTGTAATTGGGGGGGGGGGGGGGCAAAGGCTTGTAGCTAGGTACAAAATCAGAATGTGCAATGAGGTTTATTATTTAGTGTGATTATCTATAATTTCGATGGATTTTAGAATTCAACAAGATTTGTATATTAGCAGTCCTCAACAGTACGAGCAGATGTTTTTTATACACTGCAACCTGGAAACGTTCAAAAAATATTAAATGTCTTTAATCGTGCAGTTAACTTTACCTGACGAATCTCCTTGTAGTTTTTATCAATGCCCCATTAGGTCCAGGTTGATAACTACAAGCATAACTCTCATCATATCGCGCCTCGTCGATTGTATTAGAATGAATCATACCCAGCGGTTCAAATAATTCATCTCGAAATAATTGTTCAATCGTTTTATTCTCCATTAACTCAAATGCTTTATCAAGAAAAAGAAATGCATCGTTTGAGTAATGGAATCCTCGCCTTATTTCGTCCACAACCGGGTAATGTTTTACATTCCTGAAAAAAAAAACTTTACTGTAGTGGACATGGCTGTTTCTCTGAACACGAAGGCATGTAGGATCGTTTATATGGTCAGAGCAATATCAGGTATAAAATAGCAAGTGATAAATTAAATATTTGGGACAGGGATGATATCAGGATTAGAGGGATGATATCAGGGATGATGTCGATAGCACCCAGGGTAAAATCTGACTTTTTTTAAATTTATTTTTGTTCAAAAAACTTTGATATTTTTGAAAAATTTTCATTTTTAAATCATCTTCCAAAAAATTTAAATTCTTTTAAATTTTTTGGTTAGAAATAATTTTAATTTTTCAATTTTTGAGTATTATGTTTTTCTTTTTCTTAAATTCTCAATGCACGTTAGGGCGGGATAATATGTATGTTTAATATTCCTAAGAGTCAAACATTTTTTTCTCATTCAACAGAGGACTTTAAGTAGCTATTGCTCTTGGCCATGGTATACGGTCTTTATTCACCTATCGGGATAATATGAGGAAAATCCCTCGGATGATATCAATATTTCCCTCAGTCACTGCTTTCCCTTGGGAAATATTGATATCATCCTTGTGATATTCCCCATATCAATTCCCTCCTTGCGAATAACGTTTTATTATATCCCATGATTCGTCCGTCACATTTCGAATATTGATATGAAACAAGGTTCTTGTATGAGCACCTGTGCAAGATCATCCATTTTTGATGAGCTTGGATAATTCTTCTTTATCGAGTCGACAACTAGATCAAGAAACATTATCAAAGCGAGTCGAGATCGAGAATTATAGGATATCCTATGATTTTAAGGAATATCATTTTTATCTACGAGGTGATATTGATATCTGCACGAGAGAGCGAAGCGAACGAGTGCATATATCAATATCACCGAGTAGATTAAAATGATATTCTGAAAAAAATCATAGGATGTTCTTATTATGCTACACTTACAAGGAGTGTACTAAATGTATAATATCATTGCAAAATGAATTTCATGCCAAATAGAGTCAATTTGGCGGGAAATCAACAAGCGGAGTATATCGTCACAATATCCTCTGCATATTGTGTTTTCCGGAGTATATCGTCACGATATCCTCCGCCCGGAGTATATCGTGACGATATCCTCCGGATATTCATTTCGCCCATAAATATCAAATTTATTTTTTAATGTTATTATACATTTAGTACACTAAATGTAGGATAGTGGACGATATTGCACAGGTACGTGTACAAGAAAGTTTTCCATGACTCAGTATTATGCCATATTTTCACCTTTTAATGATAAATCTGAGTGAAAAATAGTTTTAAGTCGAGGAGGATTGGCTTGGCTCCCAGAGTGCAACATCGATATTCTGTCCCATATATGGGGATGTCTTGCTACAACATTTTAATTCCGGCGTTTTCATTGTTGGAAAATATCGACTTCGATTCTAGGGGCCAATGCTCCTGCAATCCTCAGTAGTTTCAAATTGATTGAACTTCATCTTTCAATCTTGTAGTGTAGTGGTTTCGATACGTCCCGTATATTTGGTACCCCGTGAGATACTCATGCAAGAACCTTATACTGTACCTTAAAAAGTCATACTTCGTCATTGCATACCAATTCCCTATTAATTGATCAGATGGAAAACCCAATCCATGAGAATGCGATATTATATCCTGAAAAATTAAACAGAAGGCTATTACAAGAGCCAATTCCTTTAAAACTAGGAGCAGATGTGATAGGCTACCTAGTTGTACCAAACAAAATCTAAATTTTAATCCACATGTTGACCAACACATAGAGAGAGTAAACTCTCTCATGAGACCTATGAAAAAATTATCTAAACTGCTCAACAGTAAGTACAGTAATGTACTTAGAGAATATATATAATTCATTTATACTACCCCATTTTGACTACTGTGACACAATATATGATAAGGCTTCAACTGCAAAACTCTTAACATTGGATAGACTTCATTATCAAGCAGCTTGCCTTGTGTCAGGTGCAATTCATGGTTCAAACACTTCAAAAGTTTTATCTTTACTCAACTGGAAAACGTTAGCAAAGGTTTTCCACAGCTCTGGAACTTACTGGAAAAGTAAAATGAATTCCATTTTCTGGAAAACACTAGAATTTGACAAAAAACTGTGGAAAACACTGCAAAATGAACGTGAGTTTTTCAAGGGAATTTTCATTTTTCAAAAATGCCCCAAGTGATAAATAAAGCATGAAATACTGAAAATGTGAGTACCCTGTGATCCAATTGAATAAGTAAAATTCAAAATAGCTGAATTAAAGCAACTTCAAGGGAGAGATATGTATGTACATAGATTAATAGTTTCACATAGTAAATAGTTTCACCTTTCTTTTAGGAAGGTTTCAGGTGTCAAAAAAGCTGATCCATCATTTTTAAAATTGAAAGCAATATATTCAGCATTGATTCAGCATCAAGTCTTAATTTCCATGCAAAGAGACATTCTTGATAATTTTAAACCAATCTCAAATTGTTCATCTGGAAATGCGTACACAAAATTAATTGGGAATAACGAGAATAATTTTTACCAACCCTTATTGTAACGATTTTCTCTGCCGTTTTGTCGGACAGTTCCAAATGATCACCTAGTAACTCTTTAATGGTCGTGTCAAATGTATATCTGGAATGAAATTTCATTTTTATGAAATATTTATGACATAAGGTTCCTATCCGTATACAGATTAGCAAAAATCATAAAGTATACTTACCGGATACTATAGCTATAAGTTATTCAATGATTCAAGTGAAATACAGAAAATATTTTGCTCGAGTCTGTATTTCATGAGAAAAAAATTGAATAACCTTTTTATTCCATGATCAAGGAAAACTCAAAAATAACCCCGGTAGCTGGCACAGACGCCTCAAAGGTCTCATTGTGTAGCTCTGATGTTGTATTTTTGACGTGCATCTTTGAATTTGTCAAATGTCCACGCCTAACCATCGCGAACGTACAGTGACAAAATATACCGTCGTACACTTTAGATGTACGGTGTCACTATTCTAACTGATATGAATCGAAAACGATGATGTGGGTGTGGTGTAGGTTTTAAAAATTAATCTGAGGAATACTTAAGGGATTTTATGTTTAATTTCGTGTGTATTCGATTTGGAAGACATTCACATTCAAACATTCACGTTTTTTCTTAAATAATAAAAAAAATAAAATAAATGTACGTTGTCATCTCGATGTACGTTGTCCCATTGAAGTTACATATCTGAATTCACAGTAAACCCTTACGTAGACAACGTTTTTTCCCACAATAAGGGACAGGGGAATCAAATTCATTTAAAACTGAAATGGAACAATCCAGTATTACTAATTCAACTTGATTGAACTGCACTTTCTGCACTTTCCAGGCCAGATATAGCATACACGGGATTTCGAAAGGCATCTTCGATTAGCTAGTATAGATCTCTCCATGAACTCCTTAAGATAATTAAATTTCATAAAAGTGCAACATAACATAACGTACCGACGCCGAATGTTCAAAGAGGTTGGAAGATAACAACCCATGGTCAAATATTAATCACCATATCAACACTTAAAAATCACCTTTACCTGTTAATCTGTACCAGGGATACATGAACATGTTCGTTGAACATCACTTGATACTCATAAAACCCTTAATGCGTTTTGAAATTAAATCATTACATTGTTTACATTTCAATTACAGGGACAACGTACATTGGATATGACAACGTACATTTTTGATTTTTTAAATTATACCAAATACATGAATATTATAAAACCTTCAACCGTCTTAGATTGTGTAGTTTAGAGAAGCATATTCTCATAAAAATATTCGGCACTCGTAGACGACGGGGGAGAAAAAATCAAAGGAAATATGTGTAAAAAACACATTTTTCCAACCGACCAATTGCATGGGTAGAGTAACAACGAAAAAAATCGACACTGCTCGAAAATCTTTTTATGTCTCCTTGAAATCTGACCTCAATATGTATCTACTATTTTGTTGCCTTTAGGAGTCGCATCCTACCTACCAAACTAATCAACATCTAACCTGCCCAACCTGAGATCATTTTGAATTTTAGACTCCAACTCGGCTTCAAATAACTTTGCCGATTTAGCATTTTTTGGCTCATGTTCTGGTAGAGAGCCAGCAAACGGTATTCTAAAACCTTGCGTTAAACCAGATTCAAGACTGTCTACCAAATTTTTATTGTATCCATCCAAAAATGGGAGCAACTCTTTGACTTTAATAGGTGTAACTACTTCCTGTTTCTTTTCAGCTAGGTTTTTACCAGATGGATGGTACACCCTATCAACCAGTTGTGGACCTATATCCCTTAATTTAGATGTTATCCCAATTTTTTCCTGATTTAATGATTTCCCTTCATCTATACCACCATCCTTAGACACATCGGCCTGACGGTGCACCCAATCAACCCGATCTGTCTCCGAATGGGGCAGCTGTATCTCTAGTAAGTGGGATTCATCGAAAACATTTTTTCCTGACAATTCTTCATCAAAAAAACTTTCCTTTTGATTTTTGTCAACACCATTCTGTCCTAACAGATCTTTATCAAACATTCTTTCCTTTTGATTTTGGACGAAAAGGCCGTTTCAGCGCTTCTTGACAAGTATTTGCTTTATGGGTTTTATCCTTATGAGTTGGGCAATCATGTGACCCTTTACAATTGAGACCCCCCGAGCAGTCTTGTCCCTTGTGAAAAACCCAGCAATACCCTGGTGGGATATAGGGCATCACCTTATCTGAGGAATCCTTCGATCTTTTTGTACCCTCATGCTTGACCATGTCGGGCGCCCTTTTCTGAGCCTTGTCACCCCAATTTTCCCCTTGAGGCAACCTCATACATTCATGAAATAACATAGTATCGAACGTAGCCCAAGAACATAGCCGATTGGCCCTCGCTTTCCTAAATTTTTTGTCATACAACCCCCAATTTCTATTTTGCTTTTTAAGCTCATGTATCGTGTCTAAATAGGAAACCATATCTGTAACTTCCCTGGGCGAATATTCCCCAACTAGTTTCATATACACTAGATAAGCCTTGTGCCATTCTGGAAAGGTCAGATATGCTTTCCCTTTTCGCTTCGTTATCAATTTTCCCTCTTTAATCGTGATCTCACGGTCTTTAGCGAAAACCTCATCATCTTCTTCACTATCTAGGTCAGAAACCAATTTTGCCAAATCAATGTATTCGTTATTTCTAACTTTCTCTCTTAATTTTTGGGAAATCCCTGCAGTTAGAGATGACGAGGTACTCACTAAAGGCATGATATTCAATTGTGGAAAAGTATTATTACTTAAGTTCTGTCCCAGATATTGATGTTGGCCAGTCTCTGTTCTAGTGGGAAGTTGTTGTGCCCCATATAAGTTTGTAGCAGGATTCCCCATCCCCCCGGGGGTGAAGCCTGGCCACGCGCCCCCAACCGATACATTCGAAGTCAAAGGCGCGCCCCCTGACCCCACACCCTGATTAGGTGACGGTAAGTTATATAGCCATGTACTGTCCGACTCGTCTTCGGGTGAGCCAGCTCCTTTTGCCCCTGGTAAATGCCCTGATACTTCAGTTACAATACGTGGCTGCTTTGTATTTGCTTTCTTCAGTTTTGATTGTCTTTTTTGACCACTTATCATACGTGCTTGTTTTTCTTTGGTTTGATTTTGTAAGGATCGTTTATTTTCCTTAAGTTTTTTGAGTTGTTTCTTGATCCTTAGTTTTAGCACCTTATTCTTCAAACGAAGAACTTCTAATCTCTTTGCTTTTGAGCTCTTAGGATCTTTGGCTTTTACTGTCTTTTTCATGCTCACTTTCTTTTCTTTGGCCATATTCTATAACATATAAAAGAGAAAACTGTACATGTAACCCCTATTCTACTAAGCGACTCCTCGAGCAAAAGCAAGCACTCATGGCTTACAGTTACCATGACAATTGGGACATGGGTTAAAGTACAGTCCTCCCACTACTAAGAACTTCCATAAAGACTTGCACTACGTAGATCAAAGCCTATACTTGCCATAAACTACTCTACGAATATAATATTCACACAAGTCTAGACTACGTAAGAATTTGTAATAAAAATGGCTTACAAAGTAAGGCATTTCTACATTAAGAACATTACTTACCTAGTGTCTTACCTGTTGTTCATTCAAATCTTACTACGCTTGGCTAGAGCGTTAACTACATCTTACATATATATTACATTTTTTGTTTATTTATTTTCTTTATTTATTTATATTTATTTATTTATTTTATTTTTCTTATTATTTTTAATGCATCAATATATATGTAAGAAACTAAGAACATGACTAGTTTCATGTCAAGGCCACTTGGAAAGTATGTGCAGTTAACTACATGTTTTGCATACTATATCTAGCAAAACCTATATTCTATTTTCTATGAAGCTTTTTATTATATTTTATCGTAAACTATATAATGTTTGAGATAAATACACACTAACTATATATATGCTTAGTTTTCTGTTAAGCCACACGGGAAAATCTATATGCATGCAAGTACTAGGTTTTCTAATTAACTATAGTAAACCCATATTTCTACAAAGCTTCCAAAGATACCACCTACTCCAACTCAACTAGACTCCATATTGGAAAACAAACCGCTCGAAACTATGGGCTATTATGTTACATAAACTATTTCATTTAATTTGTTGTTATTTATTTATTTCCCTATGTATCTATATTTATGATATTAGGCCTGAATAACTATCATGACTCAAACTTAGCCTGTACTTTAGGACATACATAATTATTTTGTAGACACTTTCTCTTCATCCCCAGAGCCGTGTTGACTGCATTTTGCAACTGTTTACCCCAGTCAACCATGGGCCCCTGTTTTAGGTGTGTCCCATCCTTTAATTTCTTTTTAATGTCTACTTCAATACCTCTCGTTCTCCAAAATATTATTCGATTGTCTCTCTTTGACCGCTCGTTTAATTTCCTATTTACTTCATGTATCATACTATTGCAGATTTTTAACGGTGTTTCATTTTTTATGAATTGTTTCAGATATTTTGGGGCCATATCTCTTGTAATTAATTTTCCAATCATCATTCTACTGTCTTTGACAAGATGCCTCTTACACTTTAGAGCCAAATCCCATAATTTATCGACCATCTTCTCACTCTCATGTTCTATAGAAATTTCTAAATTTTTGGAAAGTTCTGAAATATCATTCCCCCCGATTTGCATAAATCCACAATCAAAATGGCTCATAGGTACGCTCGTGTCACTCAAAATTTTAGAAACCTTTTCAACTGTCCCCTTACTCAGAAAGGTACATCGGGCCCTCGGAGGTACCAAAACCCATTTGAGCTTTTTTTCTTGTCAAGAGATTTTATCTTATTCTTAGGCCCAGGTGTTTCTTTTCTACTCTTTTCCATCTTTTGCTCTAAAATTGACTTTTCCACCAATGTCTCTAATCGATCTATATACGAATGGCCAACGAACAATACCTTTGAAGTTTTTTCATTCATAGTTTTAGAAGATCTACCTGGAATAAGAGGATAATTAAGAAATAAGGTGCAATCTGGGCTTGCCTAGGCTGAAGATGAACTTGAAATTTTTTCCCCCTCAACTTTCGGAGATCACTAAACTAACTCAAGCCCTATTTCAATCTCTGTTTCTGTCACTAAATTCTTTTACTACTCTAATATTAACTTTTCTACCCAAACGTTATATTAGAATAAATCAACTTACCCTCAAAGATTGCTAGATTGCCTACCACTGAAATGTTATCATTCCCGCCTCGTGCAGAATTGAAAAAGGTCCAGCATGCATTGCATTTTCCGGAACTCAACTTCCGGTGACGTCACTGAAAAATCTCAACAAACTTACAATTATCTCATATTACCTCAATGTCTAACTTGGTAAGTAGGAAGCGTCATCTTCAGGCAACATAAATCATTATATTGAGCATATAATACATTAACGTAATTGGAAAGGTAAATGTCTTCCAATTTTTTTTTATCCTAACATAATTAATTGACATGATCACAGTATTAATTCCTGTATTTAAATCAGTCATGTATAGCCCGATTATAGCAAATGCAAAGATTACCACGAGTTAGCGTGAACTAATCGCTATTGATTTTTTCAATATCAGTCACATCCTGCATCACAGCACATCAACCAGCGCTCTCCTGCAAAATCCGCACATTCCGGTAAAAAGTCGTGAGATTTTGGAAATTGTTTTGAAAATGAATTCGAACGCTCTTTCTTGTAAGTTCACCGACCTTGCTTATTCTTGTTAGTGTATTCAGCTAGCAGAATGTGTTTCACATCATCTGTGTTTTTAGGATACTTAAATAATATAAGTCTAAGTTGTTCGTGAGACTGCACACAAATTGAAATCTCAACTGTGTGCCAGTTTATGAAGAAACTTGAGGTAAGCTGATGTCAGCCATGGATGAATAGGGAAGGTAAATATGTGATTCGACTTAATAGATCATACACAGATAAGTTAATTATATATAGTAATAAATCTCAACTGTGTGCTACTTTATGAAAAAACTTGAGGTAATTAAGCTGACGTCAGCCATGGATGAAATAGGATATAGGTAAATATGTGATTCGACTTCGAACCCCATCCCCCCCCGGCAATGGGCCTGAATGGTCCTTACTTTTTGCGACTAAGTATTAAAGAAGAGTTCATTTGAAAAATTAAATCATACGCAGATAAAATTTTAATGAATATTCAACTGGGTTTGTCCCATTCTCTTTAATTTATACTCACTGTGGATATTTCGTTAACATTCTGGCAGTGAGAATGGTCATCATGAGTTTGGAAGTGCTTTGAATCGACATTGGTGTCTGCGTGGTAAACGGTTCCTTTGTTTCAACATTCTTAAAGCCATAGCCTCTGCTCAGTGTAACCTCATCATCCTTTACAATAGTTAGGAACATCCCCGGCACATTCCTGCATTCCATCGTCGTTGCTATGAATTGATCTAAGTTCGCTGTGTCGTTTGCACTCCATTCCATGGAGAGACATCCATGGATGCAAACAAGTAATATGATGAAATCGTACTTGGCCATTGGTTCGAAAATGAACCTCTTAAACCCATGTGCACTTTTCAATAAAAGTGAAGTAGAAATTGTATTGCTTAGAATTTGAACTTGACTTGAATCATTAAAACAAATGTCTGAATTTACATTTCTTATTCAGCTTATTCAGGTAGACTTTGTGTATTTAATATATACCCCTTGTATTTTCATATGTTGTTAAGTTAGACTTTTGTTTAAACGATATATGACCCTCGTAAAGAATTTCAAGTGACATTAATTAGATTATCTGGGTCACTGGGCACATAACCTGATAACTCAAAGTCAATTTCCGGTATGAAAACACGCCTAGGACCTTTAAAATTATGGTTTGTATGGCATTAAACGGTATAAAATAAAAACAAAACTGAAGATAATGAGCATTTTTGGTATAATTCATATAACAAAGATTACACGCAAACACTGTACATTGTCCAGGATGCGTTCTCAATTTAATAATTTTCGGCTTGTACTGTACAAGAATTAATGCGGCTCGACAAGAATTGGTCAAACTACCATGAGATTTAAGCTTATCTGGGTTCCTCAGGTTTTGTACTCTGCTCTAAAACTGCCCCAACATTTTTTGCCCCAAAATGGGGGGGGGGGGGAGGGTGTACTCCATGCCTCCCCCACTGGATCCGCCAGTACGTGCTTTAAGATAGCCTTGCCCAGGTCGGTCTCTTACTTATATTGATTTCTATTATGACCGCCTTGTACCAATGAGAAAGCCACGTGCTTAAGTTAACCGACTCAATGTTTATGTCGGTAGACCAATCAACGACGGCCCTGCAGTGTTAGCTCATTATTATGCATATTTACTTTTAACGCCGTAATAAATACTTATAACGCCGTTTTAACGGCGTATAAAATCGTTTTTGACGGCGTTATAAGTATCAATTACGGCGTTAAAAGTAGATTTTACGGCGTTAAAAGTAGTCAGTTTGTCAACTTTAGCTCCCCCATTGAACTACGTGTTAAAGCCGCTTTACCTTTGAATTTTTATTTACTTAACCTGCGATGAAAATACTTATACTAATAATGGAAACGTAATTTTACTTTATTTCCAATACCTCCAAATTTTCTCAATTTTTTTCCTCAATTCCAATAAGTCGAAAATTGATGATTTTGATGAATTTTTGAAAATCGACATTCCCATGTTAACCAATGGGAAATGGTAGGTTTGCCGCAAGTCATATTACTGACTATCCATCCATCCGAGTCATTACAAAAAATACGAGTTAGGTAGGCAATTGAATTTGCTAACTTTATTTAACAAAAAATTGATATGTTTCTTCAGGTTCAACAAAGTTATAGGGCTTTAAAGTCAAAAATTTTTTTCAAAAAAACTCTCCCATTGAAATAACACAGGAGGCGAAAAATTATTTTCAAAAATGACTTTGACGCGCTGTAACTTTAGTATTCATCAAATAAACTAAACACTTAGTGTACAAAAAAGTTAGACAATTCAATTTTCTATATAAAAATATTTTTTGCTGAATCTTTTACTGAAAAGATATCCTGATTTCTTGTTTGCCCCGAACCCATCATTTCCCATTGGATTACATGGGAATGACGATTTTCAAAAGTTCATCAAATTTATCATAAATTTTCGACTTATTGTAATTGAGGAAAAAAATTAAGAAAATTTGGAGGTATTGGAAATAAAGTCAAGTTACGTTTCCATCAATATTATAAGTTATTTCATCACAGGTTAAGTAAATAAAAATTCAATTAAACGTATAGAGGCTTTAACACGTAGTTCAATGGGGGAGCTAAGGTTCCCAAACTTATGGAGGGAGTGTATGACGATACATTGGTCCAGATGGCCAGCCATAGTCAATCAGACTGAAGTCACACGTCGTGGCCAAGGGCGAACGTAATACCCGGGACGTTCGCAAATTGGTTCGGTTTTTAACCGTTCGTTTTTTTACCGCATCCGATTTGAATTAGCCAATAAACAAATAGGGGTGTGAAAACTTGAAATTTTTTCTGACGATGTGTCTTACCCCCCTTTGGACATAAAGTCCAGAGCTGAATATATCAGCACATGTTGATGATTGGTAAGTAAACAATCTATCCTTATAACGTAACATATTTTCTATAGTTTAGCGAATTTCGGTCACGAACCGTTCGGAAACAACAGTTAAAACGAAGATTGTCCGCGTCCGTTTTGATTGCGCTAAAGAGAAACCAACGGGGTCTTCTCATTTGCATAATCAGGTCACCTTATACTACGCTATAGAGCTGGGTAAGAGGGGTAAGACTGACTGACAGAAAACACAATCGCCACTACAGTACATTTCCCTGTTTATTCTGTTGGTATTAACCCTTATTTACATATCATATATTTAAGTTAATCAATTATGTAGCTAATGATGTGAACGGATTGCAATGCCATAGAATAAAATAACCGCAAAACGGTACAGAAAAAGGTACCTAGGTCTGAGAAATCCTACCCCTCTATACACCATTAACTAATGAAGACCAAACAAAGCCCCGGATGTTGTCCCGTTTCTCGTTTCGTTTGGTACACAACTAAGCCCCGGGTATTAAATACGCCCTTGGTCGTGGCCACGCGATCTGCCAATCAATAAGGTTTCGCGATACCCCTGGCAGCGTAGGAATTATGGAAATCCCGAAACCGCTGAATATCTTATCATAAAATCAGCGATGATGCATTAGGTTGTACAAGGCGGTAATAATTCAAGATCAAATAAGTAAAAAATACCGATTTGGGCAAGGCTATCTTTAAGAATAAGACATGTATTAACGTAAATACCTGATCACTCATTATAATTATCTTACTTTGTTTGCACAAAGCTATCTCCTGAGAGATAGCTTTGCATATGTTGATATTCCCAATCCTTTATAAAGGTCTTTTGTAAAAATGTAAGAAATCTTGGAAACATTTACCCTACTTCAATCGATGCATAACATTCTAATGTATCGTTTTTGCGCATTGGCAAGACTTCCTATTCAGACGACATGGAAAATAACAAGTTCATTTTCATTTTTAAACAATAATCTAAATATGCCTTAAAGTTGTACAATTTGGAGGCTTTTGTTGCATTTTCTTATTATATATTAGTAGTATTTTCCTATAATTATAACCATATTTTCAAAATCACTCCATTTAGGGTTACCAAATAATACTGTAAGCAGAGAAAAATTATTTGTTAAAATGACAAAGATATGACGAAAATGGAATAAAGGATTCCGTTTTTGACCACTTTGTACATTGCCTTTGCCGAATATCTGTCTGTAACCCAAATTCTTAAATAATGATTGACCAGTGTGTACTACATTTGTATATTGTATTGGGTTGTATTTTATTGTATGATATACCACCAATGAAGTTTAGCGCGCGATACCTCGATATATGCAGTCGTAATTTACGCAAGACAGACCATGAAACCCCTCCTTGAAGGAGTCCCGTGTTTTTTATATGCATTCTTACATAGACCACGTCAAGCACCCTGACCTGAAGTACTTAACACAACAAGTAAATTAATCTTGCCTGAACCAGGAATCGAAACCGTGACTCACCTCTCTACCGCTGAGCTACGGGATTACTCCACAGATGTAGCGTGAAAAGGTAGAAGACAAAAAAAACTATATTCAAAATCAGGATGATGCTTGATGGAATTCCATTTTTATCAGTGCAATCAAAAGTGCAAATGTACAGACTTTACAATTTATTTTGTTTATCTCGTGTGTATATAATTTCATGTAAAAAGCATGACGAATATATTTGGCTTACTACGAATATTTGACTTTTTGTTAAAGGTAGTCTTGAGTTTGAAATCTGTTTAAAATTTTTGAAAATTCGAATAGATGGCGGAAAAGCGGTCAGATCTTTTGATTTTGGTGGCTCTTTTTTCTTGAGACATTTCGAGTTACAAGGAGAACATATTGAGCTATAACAAATGTGTTTTTTAGAACTTTGACTATAGCGGATTAGCTATAGCTAGCGATATTTCATTCTTTGAAAAATTTGAATATGTGGTTAGGTAACTGAAATCTTTTTTCATGTTGACCCGAAGATTTCCATGTTTTTCAATTGAATTGTATTCACCCTGTTATAGCATGACGGTTACGCGACCTCTGAAAGCAAGGTTGGACGGCTACATTCACTGATTTATCCGATAAAATGGCCTCGATGGAACAGAAAACTAGGTTGATGCATTATTTTCTACTACTGTGTATCAGGATGAACGATTTATGTAAGCGTCGCATTCGGTGATGCATTCAGTAATGTATATTTTGAACGTAGTCTTTGCAATTGATGCCTGATAATAACATGAAATAAGCGAAAAACTGTTGAGTTTGAAATTCAAAACTACACAAAATTTAGTAATTTTTGTCGTTAGGGCATGGTCTACATTGCCTAACAACCTCGGGGTATGTAGATGTAACCTACATACGATTATACAAAGCCAAATGAGCGTTGGAAACCACTTAATATGTTCCAATCAAGCCATAATAATGTATTTGAAATTTGCAGTAACGCAAAAAATTGATGGACGGTTACGCGAACCTCGTTCAAATATGAATCCCCGATTCATTGTTCTTAATTTTGTCATATTCATCAGTATTTGATGCTAAATATTATTTTGCCTCTTCATTGCTATCTTTTTCACTTTCATTGGTTTCATAAAAAAGCAAGCCATAGTTTTTTTCTTGCCCTATAGAGGCTCAAACAAGAACGTATCTTGCGAGCCCTGAAAACAAATATAAGCAATTAAATATTCCATTTCTTACCCATTATAACAATAACATGGAAATAAGCTATCAGATCTAGCAACCTTGACTTGACAGGTGTACATGCACGTAATCGTCCGCTAAATATCTAATGTACCACTAATACAATACATTACCGTCCATAGAATTCATACGTAATCGTCTATTCTAACGACATTGCGTTTGAAACCTTATTATTTACAATATCAACACGCTCCTATTCTGGATTTGTCATTTTATGGCTTGTTTATACACAGTTTACTTACAGTTGATATTCTGAGTGACTTTGAGGCACATATACTGAGAACACGAGAATGGACTAAAAATTATATATAAACTTGGATATCCCAGTCGGTAGATTGACAACTTACATTCTGCTTCTTGTAAACCACCTGTCAGATTTGACCCAGTCTTTATAACCATCTATATATACGTCACCGAATGGAACTAGTTGAAAAGGAAACCTTATCTGCGAATCTTGCCTACAGGTGAGAAAGAGGACATGCTGTCTTTCCCATCCGCGATTTTTTTGTTATCGTTACCGCAAAATTTTGCAAATCGCCTTAACGTAACCGTCATGCTATAACACCTTGGTATTGGGACATTTAATAGTGGCGTTACCCCGACACGGGTAGACGAAAGTGTTAGCAATGAAAGAGGTTCAGATAAACAGTTGTTAATGTACATTTATTTAACTTTGTATAATATTTAGAAATATACACAACTAGACATTCTGCAGAAATCCTAAGCCATGTAAGATGCTTATTACCTTGCCTTACTGAATATGTGGAATTATTACACCAAAAGTAGTGCGAAATGGTCTTTTCACGTGTTGGCATAAAGTTTTGACGACATTTAGAGACATAGTTCCTCTTTCACGTACATGATCTCATGGAAATGGGCATACCAGCGCAAAGATCTTTGTTCCGTGGTAAAGAAAAGCTATCAAACATTGTCTGAAGAGCAGATTTATCTCCGTAATTCTACTTTTAACATGGCGACCTTGAACTTGAAAAAATATTGCCATTTGGGCGATAATAGGTGATTCAAAAGTGAAAATAAGTGCTTTTTTCGTAGTTTTACTTTGACCAAGCCTAGAAAAAAATCGAAGTGGTAAACCTACCCCCAATTTTTGATATTTGTGTTGTCTAGAAGTGTCCTAGATGATATCAAAGTTTAAGAAAAATTGTATGTCTAGAAATATTTTATAAATTAGTGCCAATATGGTGGGTTTGGGTACTTTTTTGCCTTCATTTTTTACCCCATTTCTACGGTTGCCATGGCAACTATTAGGCTCTGGTAACCATGGTAACTTGATTTTTGAAGGACATCCACCTGATAGTAGTTGGGCCAAGTTTGATGGAAAATGGGCCTGGTTTGATATGCTGGCAGTGAGGTTGATTGTGGCATGTAGTAAAACGGCAAAACAATGGTGGAGTCATACCATGTGTTATTGGTCGGTTTACTCTACCGACTAGCACACTGTGTCCTCCAGTCATACCAAGAACTGATCTTGTATACCTTGTTAAATGAAATATTCTGTCTTCTTTCATTTAGCACAGTGCATAGTTTACAAACATTATCAGGATTTTGTAGACCTGCTGCAGATGTGAACTGATAAAGTTCCTTCCATTTAAAATATGAATTATAAAGCGTCTCGCTCTGTGAAACTTTCGTGATATATTGAGCCAAGTATTTTGTTGACTTGAAATTATCCGCATGAATGAACGAGTTTGGTGGGAGATGTTTCCCATATTCAACTTTAGATCCTTGTACGACAGGGATTAAGTTTTCTTGAAATGAATTTTTCCAAAGTTTTTCTGTGATGTAGTCTTTGCAGTCAGCATTTTCCAGGGCCATGTAAAACATATATGGGTGGGTGCCACCTGAAAGTATAGACAGTTGGCTGACATACGCATGTATATGGCTGAGTGTCATCTGAAAATATAAACGGTTATTTACAGGACCATGGTTAACATTTATGGTTGAGCTCTATCTGAAAGTATACTATTAGACTGTTATTTACAGGACCAGGGTAAACATTTATGGCTGAGCTCTATCTGAAAGTATACTATTAGACTGTTATTTACAGGACCAGTGTAAACATTTATGGTTGAGCTTTATCTGAAAGTATACTATTAGACTGTTATTTACAGGACCAGTGTAAACATTTATGGTTGAGCATCATCTGAAAGTGTAGACAGTTAATATGTACAGGACTAGGGTAACATTTATGGTTGAGCTTTATCTGAAAGTATACTATTAGACTGTTATTTACAGGACCAGTGTAAACATATATGGTTGAGCATCATCTGAAAGTGTAGACAGTTAATATGTACAGGACTAGGGTAACATTTATGGTTGAGCTCTATCTGAAAGTATACTATTAGACTGTTATGTACAGGACCAGTGTAAACATATATGGTTGAGCATCATCTGAAAGTGTAGACAGTTAATATGTACAGGACTAGGGTAACATTTATGGTTGAGCTCTATCTGAAAGTATACTATTAGACTGTTATGTACAGGACCAGTGTAAACATATATGGTTGAGCATCATCTGAAAGTGTAGACAGTTAATATGTACAGGACTAGGGTAACATTTATGGTTGAGCTCTATCTGAAAGTATACAGGACCGAGGTCAAAATATATGGTTGAATAGATATGAATGGGCATGAGCTTTACCTAGTTAAACCAATGTAAACATATATGGCTGAGCTCTTCCTAAACGTATAGACAGTCATGTACAGGACCAGTGTAAACATATATGGTTGAGCATCATCTGAAAGTGAGACACGTTACGCACTGCTCAGATTGAGGAATTGGGCCTTAGAAAGGTCAGATGTTTCATTCAATGGTGGTCCCGTAGGGTTGATGCTCTGATTGCAGCACAAAGAGGACAAAACGCATATAAGTGCTATCATTTGATAGACATCCTCCGATCACAGGGCTTCAAAATCCAGAATATCTTCTTTCTTTTTACAGGACACTTCAATCTTCATGACCAGATGTTTATTTTGTTTGCTCTGTTTTACATGACGATTTGGATCGGGGTGTTTTGAAAATGCTAAAATTCTTAGCGTACCCCTGTTTAAATAACAGTAATTTTCTAAACTTAAACGTGAATATTTTTTCCCCAAAAAATGTTGATTTGTAAATGAAATATGTGGTTATGATTTGCCCAGAAAATAAATATCTAAACCGCCTTAAAATAAATGTTCTCTTACTCCAAAATTTGAATTCTGAGCTGCCACATCTAATATTCCATATTTATGAGCAACAGTGTATAATAGAGCCAACAAAAAGGTTCTAATAAACAAGCCCGATGTCCTGTAAAGAACACCTATTCTTATTATTGAAAATGGATTTTACCAATACTTTCCCACATGAATCTAGTTTGTTGAGTTCTTCTCTGAAAGTGAGGATTTCAGCAAGGGTGCATTGACTATAACATGTTGGTATACACCATTTACTAGAATCGGGATACCATTATGTATGACACCGTAGATAGATACATTCATGCAGGATAGTATTGCAGGGATCCATTTTAATAGTAAAAATAGGGGTCCTTAAACAGAACATTAAAGCTTAACTGAGGCCTTTTAAGATTTTGAGTTGGTACTGGTGAAAATATATAGAGTTATAGTATATACTGTACTTTCATCATTAACCTTCCGTTGAAATAGGATAGTTATATCGATGCATGTAATGTGATATTGATTAAAACTAAACCTTGTCAGCAAAGTTTGGGCAAATATAACATGGCATAGGTCAATTAGGGATTTATTCCAGAAAATATATTGCATTTTTTGAAATTCCACATTTGCTAATGCATATCTGATATTTAAAACTTTGGGAACCATAAATAGCTTAGGCGAAGTGATAGGCTAAAGTCTAGTTGAATCGAGTTAGAAAATTTTGTAAGGTATTATTTGCGGGCAAATTTACGATAATTGCTATTTTAATGTCAACACAACTGGTTATCATGACCGTGAAAAAATTGCTTGTTAATTCTTAAATTTGTATACCAAAAGGATCGACAGATATGCCATAAACAACAAATGCTCATCTCAAAAATGAAATTTTATTTTTTGGGATGAGATTTACGTGAATCACCCAATAATTTTTCATTTCAAAGATTTTTGATTGGTTTTGCTTAATGAAATATACCTACCCTATTATACATAAAATGTAATTTCATAAAACACCTTATAAAAGATGCAGAATATCCTAGCTGTCTCCGATTGCAAACTTTTTGGAGAAACCGACATCATGTTTTCTGCGTTTTTAACTACCAAGAGTGACGAGAATTCTCGTCGTCTCAGAAATGACCTTGAAAGCCAGAGTGACGAGATACTCCGTCACAAAATTTGTCACTAAAATTGCTCTCATTTGAACAATTGTCATTTGATTTACACAACAATTGATTTCAGATGTCTAGAAATAATCTCGGTCGTCTAATTTTACTGCATCATCTGTTGTATATTTATGTACTAAAATCTCATTGATTGCAAAGGGTATTTTCGCTGACATGGTACTTCCACTTACAGGGCACTTCCGCTCACAAAACATCGCAACAATTTCTCTACTCAATTAATGAATAAGTAAACTGTAAAATGTACATTTAATAGACTGTCAAAGATATCAATCTGTCAAAATATATCATTTGGCTGCCAATAAGGGAGTGCAAGAAAACAAAATGGATGACAGAAAATATATTGATGACAGATCGTATGAGTCTCATATGTCAACAAAAACTCAACTTATGCACATTTCACACTCGTTTGATGGTTTTGGTGAGCTAAGATGATTTACTAAAAAATTAACATTGGCAGATGTGTTCCCGTGGCAAAAGTACATATTTCCTGAAAGTTTTCAAAATTACCCTCACTTCGAGGCCTAAAATTGTCTGCTAGTTGGCCAGAGACCAATATTCTAGCAGAATTTGAGAACAGAATCGATTTTTTCGTTCTGCGTAGGGCAAACAATGATTTGAAATCTCTTTCAACCATTCTGTGAGTATAAGAATGGTCATAAGAGGCCCGTGGAGGGTCATGAATGAAAGAAAGCCCTCTGAAATTCCGTCAAAATTGCAGGTTATTTCTTCATTTTTTGCTAAAATTACATGATTTTCAGGGCCCTTATCTCAGTGAAATTGCTACCATTTAGCGATTTTTCATTTTTACAGGCTAGATACACGTGTCAGGTCGACAGAAACAGTAAGCATGTGTGATTTTTAAATTGCTACATTGTAGCAATATTTATTTCAAAATACAGGTGTGAGAGAAACTGCAATTTAGTTAGATTTGGGCGAAAATGGACAAATTTCAGTCAAAATCCTCGGGACACAGGGCCTTTGTCTTAGATTTAGTCAATGATGCAACTCTTAGTAGAAAGTGTGCCATATAGGGAATGAAAGCTGTTTGTCAGACGTATCATTTTCTTCAATAAACTCAGAGATAGTCAGGTTAGATTTGAGACGTCACAGTGGCAAAGTTAGACTAGCATATTTAGACGTATTTGGGGTAGGGCAAATTAACCCTTTCTAGCCTAAATGGATAAATTTTTCACATATTCAGCCAGTTCCGACGTTTTTATGAATTTTTGAACTAGAAATGATATTTTCTGCCAAAAAAAGTTGCAGAGACAAAAATCAGTGTGATGTCATAAAACATTAAGGTACGAGGTTCCATATCCATCCGCCAAAAGGTATGATAGTATATAGTCCATTTAAAAACTCGTGGTATTGTTCTAAATAACGCCATAGTTGGCTTCTAGGGTTGGCTTCTATTTGGTATCAAAATAAAGAGGAGGAGTTCAACTTTCATTTGAATTACGAAAATAGCGACGTAGGTCAAAAATAGTTCCGACGTAAGCATGTTTACTACGCGTTTGCCCATCATATCAGAATTGAGGAAGTGGTAGCAAACGCGAGTCACAATAAATGGACGCTGATATCTCAAAAAGTAACCTGACTCCCTATAATTTGATGTAGATCAATCGAACCCCTATATGAACAGGTACATTTTGATATATAACACTATGGGGGGGGGGTAAGCGTTTTATAGTTGGTCACGAACGCCATATGTGCAAAGTATTGGTATGAATTTTCGAATTTGGTGTTGGATTACGGTACTCATACCCCAATGCTGCCTTAAGATAAGACAGTGTCGGCCTCAAAAAATTTTTGGGCACATTTTTTTCTTTGCCCACCCAAGGGGCACCTGACCCCCCCCCCCAGATCCGCCAGTGGCTTTAAAAGTATTGTTCCTTTTCTCAAGTTCCATTTACCTCGGCTTCACCTTAAAGGCAGTTTGCATTCAGCAGGTCTAATTAAGTTTTTAAATATAATGTTAAATTGCAGTTAGAACCTGTGAAAAATGGAATAATTTATGGAATTTTGTATTATTCAAATATTTTACGATTCAAACTCTGCCAATATTACATTAATGTTATCACTTTAAATGTATGACTTACATTTTGTGCCCCGTTCGCAAGGTTTTCCACATCTTCCAAATATATCAATGGCTATATATTTCTGTAAATTCTTTACAAACTGCATCCGATTATTAACTGTTTCACAATTACTTACAACCCAGAGGACACTGGCACCTTTATCTGTTTTATTACGTCTATTTTCCATGTAATAATTCTTCGAACTTGTTAGTTTAGACCTTAATATTCTTGGAACATATTTGCCATATGGCAAAGGCACATCTGAGCTTTGTTTGTACGTTGCTGTCAGGTTATAGAAACCATCCAAGAGTTTTGCGTATTTTGTGAAGTAATTCCTCGTTGGATTTTCTATTGAGAAAAATATGTAGTTCTGCCAAGAGAATCGGATCTGGGGAATAGGGTCACTAATCTTAAAGTCACTGCCCCACTGATGGAATAAGACTGCGTCACTTGATGCTATCCCTGCTCTAGATTTATCATAATGGAAACTACAGTGCTTTATAGAACAGTTAGACGTTTTCAGCGCAGGTTTTGTTTTGATATAAAATCTCGTCTTGAAAAATGTAGTCCATATGAGAATTTTGATTTCTCTATCTTTCTTAGGTGCTGTCTTCTTGGCTTTTGTCTCCTGTATTCCCATGGCCAAGGCATTGTTTTTTAGTTCATCAGTAGCATTGTACACTTTGTATCCTCTATTTCTTAGTACCGTCAGTGCGTGAGTTTTGTGTGGTAATTGACGACGTTGAGTTTTGTCCATATCATATGTCTTCTTTATATTTAGAGGTTGGATGTGTTGCACTGTCAGGGAAATTGTTGAATTGGCTATAAGAAGCAGCGTAATCACCATTATAGTGAATGTTAGACAAGAGACAAAAACTGGGAACAAATTCTGTAACAAAATATAACAATTTTCAGATACATTATCCTCGAGGTGTTAAAAGGATCGTCAATTTTCTCCCTTTTATTGCACAAGATTTTAAGGAAATTATAAAGTTTCCAGTACTTTGGCTTTATCATCGGGCTTCATGGAATATCACTTGTGCAAAATTCACCTCAATATTCACCTCAATAGAATTAAATATTTGTATGATATTAGGTTTTCAAACCTCATCGCATTTCAGCGCTGTTCCACTTTCAGAGGTTATTAGTACTATTACTATGTATGATAACGTTTTATCTTTTAAAGTCGATAATAAAGCCCCATTCAAAGGATTTTATTCTAGGGTCAGAATATGCTTGTTGTCTTGAAAATATGACTGCTTTGAATCATGGTTTAATTAAATTAATACATCATTGAATTAGCCCCTCGGATACAGTTCATAATAATCAACTTTAGTGTGTCAATAGTCTTACATTTTTGAATGAAATGTTGTTCATATTTTTCATAGTCACGAGTCTTTTGTTCTAGTTTGACATCATGTCCTTCCACTGTAACCTCGTATAATTCAAATTCTCATTTGAACCTCAAAAATGATGTGAAATGCGAGAAAGAGGTGGTTTTGGAAATAAACGATCAGACAATTAGCCTATGTGATCATAATCGGTAAACATGTTAACTCTCTCGCAATATTATTTTCAATTATACAGACTTCCTGGTCTTCGCTGTCCATCTCGACGCTTTTTTCTTTATTTCTTTTCAAAGCACCATTTTTGGTGTAGGAAGCTATTTTGAACATAAATGTTTTTGAACAATGATATTTTCTTTGTGCCTTTGTGCCACGATGTATCACTAACACCATTTGCACAGTGTCTATCCAGGCCCCGCTGACATCGCGAGCAATGATCGAGCTCATGTTAGAAGCGGGGTCTCGAGAGATAAGATAAAATTGAAATAGCAACATTTCAATGGAACTTTAGTACGTGAAACTCAGTACAACTTTATTTCATAGGACAATGGCAATTGCAGGGCAACGACGTTTTTCAATTTTCGTACAACTGTATTTTATCATACCTCTCAAGGCCCCGCTTCTAATTATGAGCTCAATGCTCGCTATGTAAGCGGGATTTTGCTCGCGATATACGGGGCCTGGAAAGTCACCGTGACTTGGCATTCAATTCATAGTACATGTTAGTATTGATTTAATCGTATTGCTTGTCAATGCTCATAATAGATGAGCAAAAATTAATTACATTTTTACAATACTCAGTGGTAATTTGAAAAAAAAGTTTTCAGAAAATTTATAACTAGAAATCGGCAACTCCACGGAGTAGCAAATCCCAACATACAGTATATATAAATCATGAATATGTACAATCACAATGTAATATTTACCATCTACTCTCCTTCAAAAAATATTTGAGATCATTATTGTTGTATCAAGTAACCATACTTTAATGATATCTGTAATGGCGAATTCCTGCTTTAAGCAGCCATTTTGAATTTTCCGAGGCACAAATAAGAAAAACAATACCATTATTGCAATACACTCTAAAATTCCTTCAATTTGAGTATAATTTTAGCCATACTTCTAAGAGATCTGAAAACCATTGCGAAATCCCACATTAGGCGGCCATTTTGAGTTTTACGAGGCCCGAATCAGAAAAATACCTTTTAATAATGAAAATGTCCCTGCTCTGCTTTTTGCAGATGATATCGTCCTTTTGGCTGAATCTGAAGGGGAATTGAACAAAATGTTGCAAATTGCAAATAAATTTTCACTAAAATGGGGCATTAAATATAGCCCAAAAAAGTCAAAAGTAATGGTGATAGGTAAGCGCATCAATAAAGAAAAGATTTGGCATCTTGGTGATCTTCAACTAACTGAAGTTCAAAACTATAAATATCTGGGGGTCTACTTTGATAGGACATTAAAGGACACCTATCACATAGATGCCTTCCTTAAGTCAAAAGCTAAACGCATGCACGGCATGTTGTGTTCAACTCTGAGTAAACACTGTAATGCAAAACGCATAAGCTTTGGTGATACTATATATAATTCAATGTTTGTACCTGCAATTTTGCATGGTTGTAGTACCTTATGTTTTATGTTTTTGATAGCTTGCCAAGTGTCCATTCTTTAAAAACAATAGAGAAACAATGTACTTTCCTTTTGATAGAACCACACATTCTTTAAAATAAACCACAGCTCATTCTATCTATGTGTTGCTACCTACAAGTGGGGTTTAATTATAAATTGCCTTGTCCTATATCAAAAGAATTATCGCTTATATTGTAAGTTAAAAAAGTATGCATCACTAATACAGTATTGTGACCTACTTTGACTACATTGACCTTCGACCTTAAACATTTTACTTTCTGGGACCTCATTAGCTCTTTTGTGATTAAGCTGACCTACATTTGAATTCAAAGGTCACTGAAGGTCAACCAAAGGGCAGTTCTCAAATTCAAATTCAGATTTCAGCTCCTAAGACTTTGTATACGATCTAAAGAAATTTGGTCAATTTGAAGCAAGTTAAAAAAATCATTTCCCTTCAATATCTCAAAATCTTGGACAATTTTGTATAGACGACAAATTCTATTACTTATATAAAAGTATTAGACATATGTGTACAAAATTTCAACCCAGAATCTTTACTGTTGAACTTGGTTTAGATAGCAGAGATTTTGACCTTGACCTTTCACCTTGGAAATCTTACTTTTCAGACGTCAATAGGTATTTTGTGATTAAGCTGACCTTTTTAATTTAAAAAGTCAGAATAAAAATCAAGCTTTTTACCTTTCCAAGGTCACTGAAGGTCTACCAAAGGTCAAAAAGCTATCACAAATTCAATACTTATTAGTATACAAAATTTAAGACAAAAATGATGAAGTATAGTGAGACACTTAAAATTTTGATTTGATCCAGATTTTGACTTTTGATCTTGACCGATAAAAATTAAAATTCCTTTACCGCCAAGTTCAGCTCAGGTCCCTATTTTCGGGAGCATAGAGTGGATAGTGAAAACTGTCGGGTCTCCTAATAAAAAGAAACTGATATGAAAGGATAAAATGAAATGTGCATTTTCGGTATATTCATATAACAAAAATTACACACACAATTGTACATTCAGTTTGTAATACTCAATTTAACACCATGGTGATGAAACGGTTCATTGGACATCTGTAGCTAGCGGCACTCAGTAATTAAATCTGCCAGATTCTCAAAGCTGACACTCCCACCTTTCAAATGGTATATTGGAATCATCGGGCAAATTGTGATATTTATTTTTCATATTTCCATTGGACTGGACTGAACCTCTCGTCCAGTCGTTACACAGTTTAAAAGTCTGTACCATTCAGACCCGTTAGATAATACGAACATAACTGCTCACTGTCACCAGAAATTCTTTTCAATTTTAATCCTAGAAACCTCATCTCGCTAATCGATCCATCTGATTCTGTAAACCCAGCAGAATGACCCCCAGTATACCAGTAGTGGAACATATCATCAAGGCCCTTTAGCCAAAACTGATGCGCCTGTCCTTCTTTGGGATAAGCAAACATTCTACCCCACCCTAAAGCAAACTGGAGTACTTCAACATCATCTTCGGTTCTATTTAAAGTCATGGACAAACATCCAGCTCCTTCTTTGCCAAATACACCAGTGTATTTATCAAGTGGTAGAGCCGGGACCACGTCCTCTGGGATAGCTTGAAATGATGGTATCCCCACTGGCTCACCCCACGGTGCGGGAAATGTACAAGCAGTTGTGTTGTTAAGATAACTTGGCAATTCGAGCAATGTGTCAAGAATGTATTCCTGAATGACTGTTTCTGCAACCCATGAGACGTCTGTATACGGACCATTCAAACCAGTGTAGATACCGATGTTTAATTCAGGAACATACGTCATCAGAGTGTCACATCCGCCGTGGCTTCCGGTATGCTGGACCAATTGGAAACCTAAACAATACAGGCACAAATAATATACTTAACAACACTCTGTTGACACGAAATTCATATTTGTACAGATACCCCAATGAATTTAGATGTGTTTGATTGAACAATCGTTTTTCTAAAAATGATTTACCTGATACCATGATCCTGTCAATTATCTAAAACTATTGCTAGGTGTGATCTCTTACAACCACTGGTCCCCACCTGGTTCATCCATTTTGTTATAAAGACGTCTTAATAACCAGGTAGGGACAAGTGATATTGGCCTCGAGATAAACAATGCAATTTACCTCGGTAGTAGCGATGCCACGAGGCCATGCCGTATGACTGTGTCTGGCTTGTACTTGGGAAGTCGGGTCTCAAAGAATAACCATCGGCGACTTTCACGTATGGTAAAGGGTAAAATATTTGTGGTGACAATACCTCTTTCATTAGATCTGGGTTCACATGCTGAAATGAAAACATCCAATTGTGAATATTTTATACAGTTATAATGGTTCTTTTAGGGGGTATTGTTTTTTATGGATAACCCTGCAGGATCTGAAGATATGATCGAATAAAATTTAAAATAGAGTTATTTATAATGCATTACATCCAAAGTAATCCGTTCTCACAAAAGGCCATTTGATCGAAAAGCTTCGAATAACCGCATATGTTTGAAAGCTGCAGACCAAGTTTTAAAGGTTTTTAATATAATTCCTGCAACAAGGGCCGAAGAGAATCCTGTTTCTTCTTAGGAAGGCAGGCTACACTAACTCATTGGATCAACAGAGAATTCTCAATTTTAGTTGAGAATTTCTTTTGAGATAATAAACAACATTCATCGTCTTTATGCCCCACTACACAACTTTTGATGCCGTCACACAAAGGTCACATGACCCATTTTGCCCAGTCTTCTTTATTTGTTCAAAACGATTTCAAAAAGATCGGTTGACTTTGCAGACAGGGATTTTGGTTGATTATGCCAACTGTACAGTACATACTTGCGTCCCATCTTCTAATTTGCCTTCTCTAAGAACGAATCTTAGATATTTTGCAAGATCATCTGCGGTGCTGGCCAATCCCCATCCACCAACATTCTGGGCATTTCGACTAAAATAGAACCCAATATTAAATAGCATCAATTATTTTACGACATAAGCGATGATCCTGTCGATATCAAAGAACATAATAGGCGCGTTTGGTGAAAAACTTTGAGATGCTTTTTTATTAGTTCTAGACTAAACTGATATAAAGGGTGGGCCAAAAAACCAATACCCAAATTAAAATGATGAATATGTTAAACCATTCCATGTCAGATTATATATCATTTTAAAAGAATAATCAATTCTTAGCAATATGATACCATACGCAAGAGGCTAAATTGCCACCAGGGGTGTCATGAATGACTAAAAAATAATTCACTGCGGATTTCAAAAAGGCGGAATTCGAAAATGGAGGGAAACTCAAATTCTAGCACCTTCAAAAGAGGTACATTTATACAAGTTCAGTGCTAAATTCACCCATAATACTTATATATTTTTAATTAACTATCAATTGTGCATAACCCTTAAATAAATTTATAATGATGTAGTCCAGCATATTTAGTGCAGCTGTAACTGTAATATTGGGGGGGGGGGACATTTTGGACACCCCTGAAATGACGGCTTTTTCAATCGGATGGTGTCATATTGTTAGAAAATGATTTATCTTTAAAATGATGTAGAATACATGGCATGGTTTAACACATATAATTTGATATGATCATATCATACTTGGGTATTGTTTTTGGCCCAACCTGTATTTAATAATATTATGTTTTACGGGTGTTTTCGAGTGCAATAAGGCAACGACATGACAAAATGTCAATGAGCTAAGAGAAACAGCAACTGAAATAATTTCATGAAATAAGATGATATTAAATATTGTGAACGTTTTACTGCTGAGTTCTAAATATTATTAGTCGTTGTTTTATATACATCTATATATGCAACGTCCAAGAGAAATATGAGGTGTCTTTCAAACGAATTCAGTTAACATTTACCTAATGTAGCTCCTTTTTGTTTTTAACAATGTCCCATTAGGTCCAGGTTGATATCCGGTAGCATAACTCTCATCATATCGCGCCTCATTAATTGTATTAGAATGAATCATGCCCAGTGGGTCAAATAGTTCATCTCGAAATATTTTTTCAATCGATTTATTCTCCATTAACTCAAATGCTTTATCAAGAAAAAGAAATGCATCGTTTGAGTAGTGGAATCCTCGCCTTATTTCGTCCACAACCGGGTAATGTTTTACACTCCTGAAAAAACGAATCTTTCATTTGTGTCATTGTATGGGACAGGGCTGTTCCTCCACACACCAGGGTACATAGGAACTTTTATCCCATGATTCGTCACATTTTGAATTTTAGCCATAAATCTTATATTGCAGTACACAAAACAATACCCAGACAGTAAATTGATACGCCCAAAGTAAAAAATCAAGACAGTTTTTAAACTGTACCTTCGCCATTGCATAACAATGCTCTAATAAACTACTTAGGGAAATGTGTAATGAGGTGTTAAAACAGATTTTCTGTAATGTTTCATGGATACTTTTTGGTTTACAGGCAATTTATTGGTGGGGCGTGCAGTTTTTCAAGATGTTTTTCATAATACCTTAAAAGGTCATACTTCGTCATCGTAAACCATAACCAACTACTATCTGGAAAACCCAACCCATGAGCATGTGAAACTATATCCTGAAAATAAAGTGCGAGTTTAGAAATCAAGAATATATTAAGTGTAAGTATCATACATGAACATATCGTAATTATTGCCAACTGAAATATTTACTTTAGAATAACTTTGTTTGTTATACATGTACATGGAAGGCACTAGATCTACTATATGTACCATATTACATGTATGTACCATGTACCATGGTGGGTACTGATTAGAGGTAACGAAGTTCAGCCCGCGCACCTGTTAAAAAGAGCCCACTACGATTAACATATCCTTTTCTTCCTCCATTTCTTCCAAATCTAAAAGGCAACCTTTTGGGAAATCACGCTTGACAATCTAAGTATGAAAAGACATTCAAAAAGTAGATATTTGACCCATTGGGTTTAGTGTCAAAATGTACCTTACACATTTCTATAATCTGCCTAAGAATCTACATTGCTTGTTAAAATCCCCCATAACTTCAAAAATCTCCAAGCGATTTGCTTCAAAAACAGGAATCAGAAGAACAATATCAATACTATTTCACGTGTATTATCTCATGGAAATTTATCAAAAACTGATTAACCTCCCCTCGCTTTTTGACATTTTTGTTATCAAGTAATATAATGTTCTAGATGATATCAAAATTTAAAAAACGTATGTCTTAAAATCTAAACTTGATTACTGAAGGATTATCCGCTTAGTGAGAGTTGGACCAACTTTGGCGGAAAATGGGCATGAGTTGATATTTTGACAGTGAGGTTGATTTCATCAAGTCCTGAATCGGCAAATCGATGGCAATATACATGTAATATCATTTTATCGAGTTGCAGTCTCGTTTTGGGTAGACATGCAAGGTCGGACAGCATCGCATCTATCCACCTAATATATAGGTTTTATCACCAAATTATAATATTGCCCAACATATGGAATTTATGAGGCGTACATTCAATAACAGTTTACACTAAAGTAATTCTTCAAGAGAATAGTTTAATGTTTACCAACCCTTATTGTCACGATTTTCTCTGCCGTTTTGTCGGACAGTTCCAAATAATCACCAAGTAACTCTTTGATGGTCGTGTCAAATGTATATCTGGAATGAAATATGACATATTAAGTTCCTATCTATATTCATACTAGAGAAATCATAAAACACATTTACCAGATACTTTGTGTATTGGCCTCGTCATATTAACACTTATTTATTTCAAGAGAAGATGCTACTTTAGTGAGAAACAAATTGATCCAAAACAATAATGTTGCCCAGTTTGAAACAGAAAATTTGTCCACTATTCTAATGGGGAATTTAATTGGAAAATAACACACTTCTTTGGATCCCAATGGAAACTGACTGAATTATCAACAGAAGTCAAAGGTATGAAAAGAACAGGGAATTATGCATTAACCGATCTGTATATCATAAACAGATTCTTTCAAACCTCACTTTTGATGTTTTAAAAAAAGCTCTTTGAGTTACCACTCTTGATCGTTTTGGATTCTAGAACATGAGCATTGTTTTGTTTTAAATCATGTAATGTATGCTTTCAATAGTCACAGGCTGGTATCGAAAAATTTGTCCGCTGTGACGGAGCATGCTATTTTGCATAGGAACACTAAGAAACCCACACAATTTATTTTTTACTCATATGTTTCGCTATACCAAAGAAAGTTTCTTACTCCATGCAATGGGTATATCATTTGCGGGTAACTTTAACTTTTGTTTGAAGTCCAACAACGCTAAGAGTAAAAGTTATTGAAAACGGTGCCGGGGTATCATACTCCAAAATGTACCATTTCTTTTATTTCTTTTTAATGGTACAATATAGTGACACGATAATATTTACATATGTTTTCAGCATAACTCTGAAGGTATTAAAGATATCTTGATGTATTGGGTATTTTAAATATTTTTTATAAAAAATAATGTTTACATTTTTTGTCAGCTGTGACGGAGCAGTTTTAACTGTGAACTACGTTAAGAATTTAAGATTCAAATTGTATCTTTTAAACGTACCCTTAGAAGAGAGAACGTCCCAAATCACTTTCCTGAATTATGACAAGTAGCCTCTGGTGATCTGGGGTAATGTAAATCTGAGATATAAAGACGACCATTCTTAGCATTTTTCGGAGGTTTGTACTGAAATCAACATGAATCAACATGGTGTAACTCAACATAATATTTCTAATACGTTTTCGCCAAGACGTCTTAGAATGTCACATGTAGTGTAAATTGTTACGCAGAATATGGCATACATTCATGGTTGCGCGGTATTTGTGATACGGGTGAATATGCCATACTCACCTGTGGTATATGAATATATGATGCATTGAATTCAGTGAATACCCGATACTCACCTTCAGAATATGTCACACTCACTTGCGGGATATGCCATATACAGCAGGTGAATATGACATATTCCGCAGGTGAATATGACATATTCCGCAGGTGAAAAACGTGATACAGAAAGACTTGGTTTGATTGGTTGCGAGAATCGACTCTGAATGTAAAACTACGCTGGATTACCAATACTGTCAGTGCGTCGAGTACTAATATATGAATCCTGGATTGATTGGGTAAGTTTATTACGTGAGATTGGTGAGTGATACTTCTGCATACGTTGATGTATTCGATAAACTGTACTGTTGATTCAGTAATCATTATAATAATTTATAAAGTTTTACTTGTTCGTTCAATCGATGCAATTGACAATTGCATACTTCCGTATCACGTTCTCATTGGTTAGTGTGTATGCAATGTACCACAGGTGAATCTGTCATACACCGCAAGTGAATATGGCATACTCGTTGCGGAATATGGCATATTTTTGTATCGTGTTTACCGCGTAACATAAATAAGGATAATATGAATTTATTCGAAATAGCGCACAGACATCCTGCATTCCGACAGATGTATAACCTTTTACCACATAATATTACTGTATATAAGTTACCATAAAAAATGACCATGTCAGGTGATGGATACACAGTAGGCACAACGAAAGGCAAATACCCTATACTGAAATAGAGTTGACTATCATTTTCATGAGTTACCATGCATAACTTGGATTACAGTACAAACTGAGAAAAGAAGCTTAAAGAGTGGTCGTATATACATCTCAGAATTTGAATTGTGTACTTTTATTCCGTTTTATTTTTCAGAATACTAAATACGAAAGAGATTTGATACGCTCCCTCCTCTAACGTGTAGTTATAAAGAGATATATTATAAATCTAAATTCTTAACGTATTTCAGATTTGAAACTGCTCCGTCACAGCGGACACAAAATTTAAACATTATTTTTTATTTAAAAAATTAAAAATACCCAATGCATAAAGATCTCATTAATACCTTCAGAGTTATGCTTATTATTATTATTATTAGATTTATTTTCCCTCCATTGATTGGAGATAATATAATAATTATATATTACAGTATTATTGGATGCGTATCAAAATATAAACAATAGACAAAATAGAACTCTAATAAACACCAATAACATTATAAGTAAGATCTGAGAATTGATAAGAGTAGGTATAATACACAAAAAAGCTATGAAATACTTGGAACCGCATACATCTTCCCCAAGGTCGATGTTGCATGACCAGGTGATCATTCTTGCTACGTGTTGAAATATTGTATGCAATTCATTGAGCTATACATGATTTGACAAAATAAAAATTTTCCCTATGAAAATACACCTGTATTCTATGATAACTGACGTTCCGTTGGTCACACACGGTGCCCATCACACACTCATCGTAGGGGGGGGGGGCGGCCTGTTTATATATGCCTATTTATACTAGGCCATAGCTATCCCAAGTAAATCTAATTGACTCCAATCCGGGCGAGGTACATGTTCTGTATAATAGTGCTCACACGTTTAAGTCCACTTTCGCTGAAAACATATGTTAATATTATCGTGTCGCTATATTGTACCATTAAAAAGAAATAAAAGAAATGACATTTTGGAGTATGATACTCCGACGCCGTTTTCAATAGCTTTTACTCTTAGCATTGTCGGACTTCAAACAGAAGTTAAAGTTACCCGCAAATGATATATTCATTGCATGGAGTCAGTAATTTTCTTTGATATAGCAAAACATTTGAGTAAAAAAATAAATTGTGTGGATTTCCTAGTGTTTCTATGCAAAATAGCACGCTCCGTCACAGCGGACAATTTTTTCGATACCAGCCTGTGATAGTACATACCTAAAAAGAATATGTAAATTGCCTGCATCATAAATCTCAAAATATGTAGCATTTGATTATAAAACATGTGTTAAAATCAATTAATAAAGGCACCTTAATGAGGTATGCCAGATCTAAACTGTTTGTCAAAGTTCTTAACAGTTCTAAACAAGGCTCTATTTACATTAAATGATCATACGTATTAAATATCATAAGATATCCAAAGATAAAAAATGGATGGGGTTGAGTTTTACGGGATTGACGAGTTGTCCAAGGTCTTAAGGACTATAAGTCAACAAAACATTTGATCGTTAGGTGCTTGTCGGCTTAGAGTCTGTTTGTATGACGTAGATACTGACACAATTATTCTATCTGCGCCAAGATAATCTTATAACCAGGACAAGTTTAATTTCACTTGAAACTAAACGCTCGCATATTACACTGGAAATCATAGAATTTGCAGGACCATGTCTGAACTTGTATAACCTTGCCCAAAAAATATCAGGAATATACCACAAAATCACTTCTTGACAAATGGCCCTTACTTTCTGTGCAAAAATATTTTCGGGGTTTGCTAACTTGGAATTAAAGGAGAGGTTATCCGAGATATTAAATAATCAACAACATTTAAAGGGACAAAGTGCGTAAATGAAGTTTCACTTTTGATCTTCATAGTATTTCCAATGGATTAATAAGTACCTGATCTTTCATTAGACACCAAAAACAGCTCAAACAGACCAAATCAGAGTTGACACTAGATCATGAAAAAATATTTTTGATCTACCAATTTATAGATGTCAAGTTTTAAGCAATGCCATAGAAAGATGGCATTGTTGTTTGCATTAATTATCCATTCATTTTGATAGGATTTTCAACCATGCGCCATCTTTTAATCCAAGATTTATTTAAAAACATACTCTTTGTGAAATGTGGTTTACTTCTTTTCATCTTCAAATGCTCTTTTCTATGTGAGTAATTTTTTTCACTTCAGTATTGACCCAAATTAAAGTTTTTATCATATTTGATTGACTGTGTGAGTGACATGTCTCAAATGATATTTTGTTCTTTTTCCTTCAGAAATAGGCGCATTGCCTGTTTAAAGAATATTCAGCTAGGTCTGTCCATCTTAAGGTGCCGTGGTACAAAACAGGAAGTGATAAAGCCATGCTGGATTTCAAACATTTTGTGAACCATGATAACAGAGTTCTGTTTTGACATCCAGTCAGTTTAATACGTTCCACACGTCATGTAAATGACATGTGGAACTTATTAGCTAAAAGTACGCGCTTAGGAAAAGTCACTGAACAGAATCTTTTGAATTTTTCAGAAAATGTGCTCAGTGTATTGCTCTAAATGATACAATCTTTGAAAATTTGATACCATTCATAGAAAAAGAAAAAAAATGAAAAAAACGTAATTGAATTGAAAAGCGATCTGATTTCCTTTTTATGACCGCCATTTTTGCTTCAGATAAATTTCTAAATTTTCAAAGATTGTATCATTTACAGCAATTTATTGGGCACATTTTCTGAAAAATTCAAAAGATTCTGTTCAGTGACCTTTTACTTAGCTCCTATTTTTAGCTATTTTCAGTCACATTTTCAGAGGGCTGAAAAAGCTATTTCATCATGTTTAGGGTCATTCTGACCATGTAAATTGTGATTCTGGTCCTGTAAATGATATGTGGAACTAGTTAAACTGACTGGAGGTTAAAACAGAACTCTGTCATCTTGGTTCAAAAAAATGTTTAAAATCCATCATGGTTTTGTCACTTCCTGTTTTGTCATTTCCTGTTAAGTACCACGGCACCTTAACACCTCCTTATACCTAATGCTGCATACAAACTAGAGTTGATGATATCACTTCCTCTGTGAAATCTTAAAAGATGGCAGCAATTTTCAAAATAACTTTGATTTGAACAGAGTTAGGCATTTGCCTTTATTCAATTTTCAAGTTTTCTAATAAAAAGGTCGGGCTAAATCCCCATTGACACAATGTTAAAAAGGGGATTCATTCTTATAAGGATCAATATTTTAATGTGTAATCACAATCCACATGCAGGGCTTGCATTAATGGTGTCCCGTACATGTTAAGGACTCAAAAATAATTTGGAGGATGCAAAAATTGAAAATATTTCCGTTTTTTGGACGCAAATTTTTTTTAGGTCAATACTACAATGTGTTTACAACAATACCTAACATAAACAAATAATTATGATCTCTCACCTTTATTTGAATCATAAATAAGGCTCAACATGTTGAATATTTAAAAATAATCATGATATATTCTCTCGAATTTTTTCGACTTTGTTTATTTTTAGATGAATGAACGAACATGCATTTATTCAGTCCGTACTTAACGTTTACTTCCGTTTTAAATTCGCGGCAAGAAATCAAAACTGAAAAATAAGGGACACACTTTTTTTCAAAGGACACACTTTTTTTTAAAAAATTGCGTCCTTGGGACTCACAAATTTTCTAATCTAATGCAAGCGCTGCACATGTCAACAAGATCATGTAGTTACATTCCAATGATAGATCACGTTAATCCAAATTAAAATGCTTGATACACCAAGAAATTGAGCGACTCTTGCCATGAGTCTCCATGTATTCTAGCCCTGCCATGTTCTAACATATGTTCTGCCATCTTTTTTCTGTCTATATAGCAAATAGTCTATTTGTACTCACTGTGGATATTTCGTCAAAATTCTTGCGGTGAGAATCGTAATCATGAGTTTGGAAGTGCTTTGAATTGACATTGGTGTCTGCGTGGTAAACGGTTCCTTTGTTTCAACATTCTTAAAGCCATAGCCTTTGCTCAGTGTAACCTCATCATCCTTTACAATAGTTAGGAACATCCCCGGCACATTCCTGCATTCCATCGTCGTTGCTATGAATTGATCTAAGTTCACCGTGTCGCTTGCACTCCATTCCATGGACAGACATCCATGGATGAAAACAAACAATATGATGAAATCGTACTTGGCCATTGGTTCTAAATTGGACATCTAGCCCATGTGCAGTTTTCAATAAAAGTGAAGTAGAAATTGTATTGCTTACAACTTGAACTGAGCTTGAATCATAAAGACAAATGTCTACATATTTACATTTCTTATTCAGATAGACGGTGTGTATAAAATGTACCGCTTGTACTTTCATTTGTTATTTAGTTTAAACGACATATGACCCTTTAGGCGAGTGGGAGATCCAGCAAAAAGGCCTTATTTGTTGACCTTAATTAAGATAGCTTGCAACCGCATGAATCATACCTGACTATCATAATATGAATATGTAGATTTCAAAAATGACAATAATAAAAATTGAAAAATGGCCGATCACTATGGAAACGGGACGCAAAAGCCACGCCCACTTTTTAAATTTCTTACTTGGTGGTAAATACATTTTAGACTGTAACTTTCTCGATTTTTAACAAATCTTCTCATTATTGGTATCTGCTGAAGCGTAATAATGAGTCCTTTCACCTCAAGCATAAATTATGTGAATTCGCTCATTTGCATATCCATTATGACATCATAACCCTTCTTTTGGCCTCAATTTTCCATACAGTTGCAACAAAGTAACATTGTTTTATTAGTTACACTTCTTAAAAATGGATAAAAGTGGGTAAATGTAGTGCCAATACAAGCAAGAGTATGTCGGCTTTTCGGATATACTGATATTGAAGGCTGCATGTTGGTTAGAATAACATAAAAACTCGTTGCCATGGTTACCATGAACTTTTCAGTAATTTAGGCAAAAAAAACGTTTTGGACTGTAACTTTCTTTGTTTTTAAGCAATCTAAGCATTATTGGTTACAGAAGAAGCGTAATAATAAGTTCTTTCACCGCAAGCATAAATTATGTTAATTGGCTCATTTGCGTATCCATTATGATGTCATAGCCCTTCTTTTGGCCTCGATTTTCCATATATTTACAATAAAATAACTGTGTTTTATTAGTTAAACTTCTTAAAAATGGATGAAAGTAGGTAAATACAGTGCCAATACAAGCAAGAGCATGTCGGCTTTTCCGATATACTGATATTGAAGGTAGCATGTTGGATAGAATATCATAAAATCTCGTTGCCATGGTTACTGTGAACTTTTCAGCAATTTAGGCAATAAATACTTTTTGGACTGTAACTTTCTTAGTTTTTAAGCAATCTTAGCATTATTGGTATCAGAAGAAGCGTAATAATAAGTTCTTTCACCGCAAGCATAAATTATGTTAATTGGCTCATTTGCGTATCCATTATGACGTCATAGCCCTTCTTTTGGCCTCGATTTTCCATATATTTACAATAAAATAACAGTGTTTTATTAGTTAAACTTCTTAAAAATGGATGAAAGTAGGTAAATACAGTGCCAATACAAACAAGAGTATGTCAGCTTTTCGGATATACTGATATTGAAGGCTGCATGTTGGTTAGAATAACATAAAAACTCGTTGCCATGGTTACCGCGAACTTTTCAGCAATTTAGGCAATAAAAACATTTTGGACTGTAACTTTCTTTGTTTTTAAGCAATCTTAGCATTATTGGTATCAGAAGAAGCGTAATAATAAGTTCTTTCACATCCTGCATAAATTATGTAAATTAGCTTTATATTTACATATACATTATGACGTCATAACCTTGCTTTATCATCAATATTCCATATATTAACAATATGATAAGATTGTTTTAATGGCCTCACGTCTTAATAATGGTTAAAAGTAGGTATATGTATTGCCAATACAAAGAAGAGTATGTCAATCATCTAGATATACTGATAGATTAAAGTCTTCATGTTGGTAAGCATACCATAAACACTCATTCCCATGGTTATGCATGTACTTTTTAGGCGATTAATCCTATTTTGACTAACTTTCTTGGTCTTATATAAATCGATTCTGGTATCAGAGAAGAGTAATAATAAATTTTTCACCTCAAGCATAAATCATGTAAATATGGTCATTTGTTTATCCATTATGACATCATAACCATTGTTTTGGCATCAATATTCTATGTGTGAACAATATAATAAAGACACTTTTAAAACTATTGCCAATACAAAGAAGAGCATACCAGCCATTCAGATAGTCTGATGTTGGTTAAAATATTATGAAAGGCTAATTTATATGGTTACCATTGCTTTTCAATAAAAATAATTGAAAAATGGTTCATTGCTATTACCCATGGCTTGATTAAGCCTTAATATGGAGTTAATGTTTTTGCTTGAACTTTCTTATTTTCGAACCATTTATTATGATATTGATATCAAAATGAATGTGTCAGCAAGGTAGACCACGATAAATTGAGACAATTGAGCTTCAGTATAAACGATGTGTTTTATGGTGCCATGATAGCAGAGTTAGATCTCCTTTGCCTGCTTTTGAGCTCTCAAAGCTCTTCATTTTATAACCCATCTGGTTCAGGAAAACACATCAGCACAGCGCCATAGTTTATCACAGCTATATGAGCTCTGATGAAATCTGTCCTCAGAATTCCTTCTCTGTTAATGCTGTTAATGTCAGCAATCGCCATCTGCGTCAAGGTTATTCTCCCATCTCATGCCATCTCCATAAACAGGAGCCATAAGCAGCAACAGAACAATCAGCTTGAACAAGGACATTTCTCACGCTAGGTTTCAACTATTCTCCTCACTGTTTGTGCCTTGCAAGAGTTGGTAACCATGCTTCTATCCAGATTAAGAAATTGTACAGGATGAATTGCTGAGTTACTGGATATAGAACTCTTACTCTCGGGGAGCTTTTCTCTCTTCTGACCTCTTTTGGGGCTTTGGGCAAACATAAGACATGTGCCCTTAGGCTGATCAATCAAAACATACCAATTGACAGCTCTACAAAATATGTACCTTCTCACCACAACTCCTACAAGTAATGCCACAATGTGCACAGAGCTCTCTTCTTGAAAAGTTTGACAGCCTCTCTTATATTCCTCTTCATCCCCTTCTTTATTTCTTCAACCATATAAGGAGGTTTTCCCCCACATGATCACTGGTAGAAAAGGAGATATGATGATCCCGTTGTATTAGCTTGAGTCCTTTCTGGATCCATTCAGATTCCTGATACGCTTCCTCCCTCTGGGCCACTTCCATGGCCTGATCAAGAGACTTTGGATCGCTTCTGTGTAATGCTGCTCATCATCATCAGTTATGGCATTCCCAGAGCTCTACCTCGTTAGTCTATCTTGTGAAGAGCAAGGCATCTCAGGATATGTTAAAACCTCCACCAGGTCATCATAGGCATACCCCTCTTCCAGCTCCTGCACTAGCTGCTTAGTATCTCCCATCAACTGGTTAGTAAGGCCTGCCTCTTCTCTTCATCATTTCTCTGCTTGCTATCCTGTGGGAAATCATGTTTCTGCTCTGGGACTGGGTCCAAGCTCTGGGACTATCTTCTGCTCCGGGAGTTGTCTCACTACCAGAGTGATCCCCTATCTACCTCTGCTCAAAAGAGAGCTACATCTATATGAGCAAACTCGTCTCTCGGAAGAGTCGAGGCTCTAGAAGTAACCTCTGCTTTGGAAGTCACTTCGAAACAGGAGTAACCTGAGCCTCTGCTCTTTGGTGTGGTCCAGTACACCGATCAACAATATGAGATTAGACAGAGTTATAATCACTCGGAAGAAATCAGTACCACCTGCGAGAAATTTTCTCTCAAAGAGGCTATCACTTCCGGCGACATGAAAGATGGCTACCCACAAGTTCTATGGGATGAAGAAGGCAAAAGGGCGGACCGCAAACTACGCATGATGGCGTCAACCTCAAGGAGGACTCGCCCTCAATCTCCTTCCTAACGAGGTCTTGTCTCTTCAAGATCTTGAGTTACTCTGATTCACATGATCAGTTTCTCACACCCAAGTTCAGACACCCATTATTGATGAAAATTTATTCAGCCAGGAAAAGAAGATTAAGGAATATGATTGGCTGGTGGCCAGTTACTTGATAGCTGATTATTTGAAACTGTCTGCCGAACCAGTAATCATCAGTATGCCTATGTGTCATTATGCATATACACTACTCTTTACTAAAGAAATTCTGAACTACAGGGAACAAAATATGAAATGAAGTCAAAATGACATCAACTGAAACTACCTATAATTGACATAGTATTGCCCAAAACTGACCATTTTAGTCCATAACCTAACTTTGCTACATTTAAGTGGTTGATAGGTTAGCATTTTAACGTCCCCCTAGTTATGCCTAATTGTGAATTAGTGAAAGTAAATGGCATAATACTGACAAAAATACATCATTTTTGTGAATGTTTTACCGTTGCTAGGTGTATCTGGTCAACTTGGACCTAGTTAACTCAGACCCTAGCTAAAGGTATTCTGGGAGATACAAGTGACAAAATATTGCTTCTGGAACGAGATCAAACGACTTTGACATATTCTTTACACTACCTAGTTTGCAATTTAACAATCAACGCAAGTATACCATATTTAAGCACATACCGGACAAGCATTTAATCAGGGTGTTGAAGTTAACAAAATATAGAGGTACTATATTAATTCCAATATGCAGTATGAAGAAATATATCAGTACATTTTTGTTTTAAGGTACAGCTTGAAAATAACATTTATTGTTTGTAATACATTTTGGGCATATTATTAAAGATTCATGTAAAGTCATACTATTGGTGACTACGTTTTAGGCATATTTAATCCTATTTGATTTCAAAATTAGAATGTATGATTTAAGATTGACCCTTGCAATTATATATGATCATTTTTGCTTTTATATATTAATTTTCACTTTAACGCTCAAAATATCGAAAAAAAGATTTGGAAATACATTGGTACAAGTTGACTAGGGTCTGTGTTGACTAGGGTCGGAGTTAACTAGGGTCTGAGTTGACTAGGAACCGTTGATACGTGTTTGCTAGGCATATGTTATGACTACACAATGCCTAAATATATAAGGGTTATGTACTGGGAGGCTTTGGATATGGGGTTTATCCAGAGGGAGATATGCATATCTACCTGAGGG